TCTGATTAAATTTTAATCAGATTCAAAACCAATGGAATGTTTTTATTTCACTGAAAAGTTACAACTACCTCCATTCACAATGATGCCTATATGTAAAGGCTCTGGACAGCAACAATTGGCTTCCTCCTTGTATAGTTACTCCTCCAGATTGACTTTATTGCAGAAATTTTTAAACCCCATGCATGCCAAGCTCTCTGTGCCCTTGTGCCTGTCATCCTGATGAGACAGATAAGGACCCTAGGAATTTTTCCACTGTTTAATGCCTGAGAAGGGCTTGAGGATGTCATGCTAAAAGAACAAGAACCCAAGGTAATGCTGGGAAAGGGACAGCCACTGTGTACCTGTTACGACTCAATTCTCCTGGAACATGCCACTCAACATACTGGAACAAATGATTAAATATCCCATTTATAAGCACCGAGAGGATAATAATGGAGTAAAGGGTAAAAAAAAAGCAATGCACTTTTGGCAAACACATATCATGCCACCCCAGCCTCATTTCCTTTTTTTTGTAGGATAGCTAGCATAACAGATAATGCAGAAGCAATATGTGTGATTATGTGATATAGCTTGACTTCAGAAGACCTGATAGTCTTCAACAAGCTAAGAGAATACGGTGGATGTTAAATCTCGATCAGGATGCTTCAAAGAGCTGCAATCAACAGATTGCTCTCCACCAGAGACGGAGGGTTTAGTGGGCCGCTGCCACAATTTGCTTTTGTGTCCTGATCTCCTCAATACTTTAATTAACACCTTCATGATGGAACAGAAACAAGGCACCTGACTTTTGTCGATGATACTAAGTTGAGGGCAGTTGCAAGTGCTTTGCAGCCCAGGATCGTAGGTAAACTGAAGTGGTCTCCATGGAGAGACCAACGAGATGGCATCCAACAGCAGCGAGCACAAAGCAGTATTCTCAGGAAGGGGGGGAAACCAATTATCGTTCAAATACAAAAGTGAAGAATGAGCTGCAGACCAGTAAGAGAGGATTAGAATGGCAGAAAGACTAAGTAAGTGAAAGCAGTGAGGCACTCATAAAAAAGATAAATCTCATTTCCTTCTGGGGTTAGATAAGTGAAGTGTGATATGCAAAACATCACTGGTACTTGTATCTGCATGATTGAATCCTAAACTGAAACTCTTGTTTTGGTTTTGGACAGTACATTTTAGGAAAACGTGTAGACAAATCAAACAGTAGTGAAATATATATGCCACAGGGGTTGAAAAAATATGACCTCTGGAAAGCAGTGAGCATGTTAAGCTGCACTAGACATCTCTGAGACACAGGAACTAAGGAGTTTCAGGCAGATAAAAGGTAGTTCTGAGGAAGAGGAGAAATAATGTGTCTTGGAAGGACCAGAAATAATTGGCAGCAAAATCAATTTGGATCATATGTTAATAAAAGCTTTCCAAATGCAAGGAGAGTGAAATAAAGGACATGCACCAGCTATGCAGATACAGAGCATCTTCAAAAAATACATGTATGGGGCAGCCACTGTAGAGCTGATCTTGTCTCACTGCATGGGGAAAGACCAGACCATTTCTTGAAAGTCCTTTCAAGTGTTAACTCTTTTGAACAGACACCAGCAGAAATAACTGGCATAGTAAACAGAAAGCTTTGCAACTGCCCATTATACCCAAATTGAAGCAGCACAAAATTCTTTGAGTGAGGTGGTGGCTCAGAGCAATCTCTTGGTGCATTCAACCTAGTGGAGAGAGCACCTGGCAGCAACTGAGCTGGGCAGATAGCCACCTCCAGTCTAGTGGACTGCAAGCAGTTCTGACCCCACCTGGGTCAGAAAGATGGAAGAGATGGCTGCAGTTGTACTAATGAATCTTTTGGCAGCGAATGCCTACTTCTACTAGCAGAGTTGGCTTTATGTTTCAAAAGCTGGAAAGACTTATGAGGACAACTTTTTCTGCTTTTAGCTGCCTGTGAAGTTCTGATATTTTTCTTAAGTGTCATTTCATGACACCCCTTTCAGACCTCTGCAATATGCCCAGTTGAGAGGGATCTTATCCATGGATGTACACACTTAAGAAAGGAAAGGAACAGACAGGAAGGTTTTTGCAGAGGTTGGTGCTGGCTGACAAAGTAGAACTGGCTCTTCCCATGGAAATACTAAAGGACTTGGGCACATACATTAGAGAGGTGATGTCCCTTCTTCTGTGATACACTTCTGCAGCTCTGGCCAGCAGAGCTCAGCAAGCAGAGCTCACCCCAGGGAAAGCTGATTTTCTCAAGGCTGTAAAGGACCTCATCCTAGAATGCAACTCAATTAGACTGCAGTGATATAAATTCAGCAAACACTCAGGTTACACTGGAGCCTGACTACTTCAGCTGGCATTGTGGACATGGAGTGGTCTCAAGTTTTAAGGGCTCCAACAGCACTCTAGGATCTGCCTACCCACTTATTAGTCTCTGATATAATTATCCCATTTGTGTCTAGGGGTAACAGAAGTTGTGTTTTCACAGGGGCTTGACAGATGAGGGAGTTGAACTGGGAGGGATTAAGGTTTTGTCTTTGGTAGTGGGGAGCAGAAATATCTGTAGCAACACTGAGTGAATGGAACAGGAAGCCTGGACATAGCCCTAAAGTAACCCATTGTCTCCAGAGCAGGAGCAGCTGCCATTGCAGCATCTTTCACTGGCAAATCCAGACAACAACCATGTGCACAAAGCTAGCAATGAGTCTCTGATCCTGGTTGGTTTTTGTTTCCCTGAGCTTGTTCAAAGGAGACCACTGACCATCATTCCAGAAACTCTCCTCCCAGATTGCCAGGAAGACCAATTGACCACTCTGTCATTTAATGTTCTAGGAGCTGTATTTTCATTTATTATTTATTTTTACATTTTTGTATATTTTTACATTTGAAGCCCAGAGCTTCAAATAGTCTGTTTTGAAATGTATGAGCATAAAAACAAGAGAAGTAAATAAACTACATAAAATAAATAAAACTGAATAGTTTAGCATGACTCAGTATCCAAACTCCTTTAATTTGTACTAGTAGCAGACTGTTTTTCAGGCAGACAACCTGCAAATCTTAGAAAAATAACAATGAATATTAGAAAATAATACTCTGAGACTACAGGGATTATTTTTCTAACATACATTATTTTGTACTGAATTAGTTTTATTAGTTAAGATTATTTTTAAAACATGTTTAAAATGAGACTAACTCTTCAAAATTGTAAAGGATTTTATATTAATATTTTCCTTCACTTTTTCTCCAGATTAAATTTAGTTTTATAATAATTAAAGCTATGAGTTCACCTAATTACAGGATTACACTAAGCACAATATATCAATGGGTCTTTTATGAAATCTGTGGCAGGTATTAGAAGAAAGATTACCCACAGATATCTTATTTACAGGCATCTAGAGTTTAGGAGTGTCAAAACCTAAATTTTCTCATTCTCAGAAAGGTGGCAGTAGTTCAGAGCCAGATACCCACGTATTTAAGTGAAAGCTAAGCTAGAGAACTCAATTTTGCTGCTTAGGCCCATATCTAATAAGCACAAATAAAATTAATAATACATATGCATGGCTCTAGAATTCATTTGTCCCTATATTTTTCTTGACAGGTAAATGGAAATTGTGTGCTGTGAGATTTCACCAGCAATAAACCACCTACAGAGGGCTGGCTCTGCTCTGCTGTAGCGAGGCAGGGCGCACCTCCAGGGCTGGGGAATGCATTTCACACAGCAAGCACCCAGCCAAGCTGGGAGAGCTGCTCTGTGTGTGGATGTGGACCGCTCTCCATGATGCTGGGGGAACATTCTGGACAAGAAAATCAACCAGGAGCCTTCTGGCTCACTACACCTGTGTGTAAAGCATCATCTTTGACCACATGTCCACACTTCACCTTGCAGAGAAACACATGGGATTCTACTTAACCCCCCCAGTTTGCCAAGTAATACCAGCAAGAGGAAAAGTCCCTTCTTGCATGCTTTTGTAATCAGAGCGATTCAAAAGCTTGCTGAGGGAAATAAAATCTGCAGCCTTATGGGTTACTAGACAAATCAGGAGAAATAACAAATTCCTGCCTGAAGGGTAATATAGAAGTTGAATATATCTGTAATATGTGTCAAACACATTCATACGTATCTATCACCTAAGCTGCTTTGTAAATATTTTAGATAAATAGGCAGATAGACAAAATGGCACAAAGAATAAAAGCAAAACTAAACAAAACTGGGTAAACTCACTTCTTTGGTGTTCTAGTCTGGACAAGATGGAACAAGTAAACTCACTAATGACCTTACCAATTACTGGTGAACTCTTTAATTTAATTTAATTAATTAAACTTAATTAAGTTTACTCTCTGTTATGCCATAAATGCAGGCAGATGGATAGGACAATGCGGGTTTGCCAAGTTTCCTGTTCCTTACAACACACACAGGAGAAGGGTAGCTAAAGAAGGAGAGGGCAACATAAGGTATGTGGCAGGTCCCTCAGGTACCAGGTCTCACACATGCCTAGTGATGGGACACCCTGAAAACCAATGATCCAGCATGGAAAAACTCACAGGAAAATTAATTCCTTAGCCTGGCAAAGAGTTGACTATGGAAGGCCAAAAAACACAGCACAGTAGCTTGTTGACACAAGAAAAAAGAAAGGAAACCTGAGGAAGGAGGAGGTAAAAAAACCAGAGGGCTCTCTGGGAAGAGATGAGGGACAATGTTCTAAAAAGTGTCATTATAAACAAATGCTTTCCCATCACTGCCAAACAACCAGGGCCAAGAGCCAGGCTTGCATTATACTAGAATATGGCTTGGCATCACTGGTGTCCCCCTCCTCTATCACCACTTTTAAAAGGACAAACTGACAGCAGAGTAAAACCATGCTACACCACAGTGGAAGGGAAGAGTCCAGCTGGCTCCTGTGTAAACATAAGGGACACACAGGCTACTGACTCTGGAGCTTCTCAGGAAAATACAGATCCTTCCTCTCACTGTGTCTTTTGTTCTTTGCTCTCCTAGCAGACATGTTGCTTACCTTGCACGATCAAGTAAACCTGGGCAGTCTTGGGATGATGCTGTGTCTGCACTGAGCACGTATAGGACCCCTCATCGTAGACATCCACTTTCTGGATCCGCAGGCTGTATTCCAGGGGGTTTCTCTTCTCCAGCTCTACTCGAGGGTCCAGGGACCACTTGTCCTCTCCAGCAAAAATGATGCCGGAACGGTTTAACCAGGCCACCTTGGAGCTTCTGTCTTCTACATAACACCTGCAGAGAATGAGACAGGCAAAGCACAGATTAACAACCCTCTCCATCATCTCCCTTTTGTCCCTTCTCTTTACTGCTTTGCTTAGAAACTTCATAGCACACTCCTGCCTTGACAGTGAACCACAGAATCCTCTCATCATTGCTGTCCCATGGACAAATATTTAACGATTTAACTCTTTTGAAGAATTTCAGGAACCTTCAGATCATAAATCCTTACGATTTGGGGCAGGCATATCTCTTGCTCTCTTCCTTTTTCCTGTGGCCTACACATGCACCAAAAATTAATTTGTAAGGCCACAAGAGATCTTGATAACCAAATCCCTTCCAACCCTGCCAATGAGCAAGATTGGAAGTAGTTCTTCCCATGCTTCTACCTCCCCTTCCAAAGTCAAGTATACAATAATTGAATTCCCAGGCCCCTTCCAGCCTGGATGGCAAAGGTTCAGAACTCCAGCTTTGTTAACTCAGGGCACAGCTTCTCCACCCCTCCATTTCAGCAGCACAAGGGAAGGAAATTGTAGTGTATCTCCCGTCTATATCCCTCCAACAAAAAATAACTTTGTGGAAAGAGGGATTCACTGCTCAAACATCACCCTTCTAACACACACACTTGCTGATGCACATCTGCCTGTTTGTGCAGGCAAGTGTAGATCTCAGGCTGAAAATGAGGCTGTGGGAGTGTCACTGTCATCCCTGTGACACACGCAGCATGTCCTGTGAACATCTCAGGTGGACAGGAGAGGAGGAATGACAGCTAGGTGTGGCAAGCAGAGGAGCAGCAGAAGGACCAGCAACTTCCACAGCCCTGAGTGCCAACCTTCACAAGTCAGAGGACAAACTAACCCCGCTGTAACTGTAACTTGACAAGTATTTTGTTTCATGATGGAGATCAGAGTAGGTGCTGTGAAGACAAATGCATTTTTGGCAAAGGCACCTGCTCTGTGCCACTTCCCACCACCAGGAGACTTGCACAGAAAAGATGAGGAGCTCCCAGTAAGGAGACACGTCCTGCTCATTCTCAGCTTTGTCTTATTCAAGAGGACCAGGGCTGAAGAAGACAGGCAGACATAACTCCTCTTTCACCCTGGCAGCTGTACCCCACCAGGGCTGAGCTCAGATAGGCTGCGAGCAGGTTTGTCCTGCTGCATCTCACATCACATTTGCTCTGCAGATAAACAGGGAAGCTCAATCTCCAGGGCTGTTGTTCCTTCACCTCTCAGAGCTCTGCCCACAGTGTTCCAGCATCCAAACAACCCAGCACCTCTTGTCACTGCTGCTACAGAATCACAGAATAGGTAAGGTTGGAAGGGACCACAGTGAGGTCATATGGTAAAACCTCTCGGCTCAAGCAGGGTCATCCTAGATCACGTTGCACAGGATTGTGTCCTATTCACTATTCATGCATGTGTTGTATTTGAAGGAAGAAAGAGAGAGGATAAAGATTATTGCTTTAAGATAAGACAAATATTTGACAGTAGGCTTTCATACAGCCTTTTAGCATGGGTCAGACATTTTCCAAGTTCCTCTATTTGAATGCATTTCATTCATGCTGTGCTGCAGCTGCCTTCCCTTGTGATGTGACCCCACCATTATGGCCGGCACCTCACACCCACTCCCTTTTGGTATGCCCGTGGATGCTGTCCAAGTTGTTCTGGGGTTACTTGTGGGCAGGAGGAAAGCCAAGCTGCGTGGGCATCCATGGGAGCCATGCCATGCTGCTGGCCAAGCTGTAAGCAGCTCTGTCTGATCTGACAAACATTTGCTTTAGAGAGCAGTCCAACAGATCCTGTCCTTTACTGACACTGTCCAGCTGAAGAAGGGGAGTAAGAATTTGGCCCTCAGGCCAGAGCCCATTCTCCTGGCCAGGCAAGCACTTGTCCCTGAGGCGAACTCTCAGGCGTGATCTGAGTTGCTTTCCAAAAACTACTTTTTGTCAAAAAGAAAGATGCAGAGGAACCTGTGAGCAGCCACTTACATGTAGAAACCAGCACCACTGTGATGAGGCATTGCTCCAGTTCCATTGGCTATCCCTGGCTGCAATCACCAATGCTGGGAGGTAAAAGCCAGGACCAAGGGAGGGCAGTGTGCTCCAGGGCTGGGAGCAGTGGCCTGTAGGAACACCCAGACTGCCTCCAGAGATGGCTGCCTTAGGGTCAAGAACCCTCTCGCAAATGCAAGAGTCGTAACAGTGCCAAGAATCAGGGGTCAGGTATTTTGGTAGTGAAAAGCTAAGCAGATTATCAGTGGAAGCTGAAGTCAGTGGGAGCTGAAGTTTCTCAGTCACTTCTGTCCACCCCCCTGAACAGCTATCAGTGCTGCTGGACTCCAGCAGATCCGTGGCACCGCTCCATCCCCACCAGGCTGCTTTCCCATCCCCACCGGACTACAGTGAGTGCTTGGCAGCTCTGCCCTGCCCTCAATCATTATAACTCTATTTGGGGTAGCAAATATGCTCCTGTGTGGTGTCTTGTCAGTAAAAGCTCAGTGGCGTGGTCTGAACAAAGCCTTGTCCTTTTGCTTCTGTGGTAGGCACAGCCAGGGACCTGCCCTCCCTTCTCCACCTGGAAGAGAAAATGTGTCATAACCTGTCTTACATGCATCCAGGTCAGCCCTAGGACAGTGGCCAATAGCTAGAGTCAGTCAACTTTGCAACTGCCCCTGAAATAAGTTAGCAGGTGCTACCAAAATAAAGAAAGGAAAGAGGACAAGGAAAAGAGGAAAACGGGAAGAGTAAATGAAATGGATTTGAGCTCTCTGTTCACCATACCTGTTCCTCTCAAGCTGACAGGGAAAATCAATGTACAAATGTGGAAATTCCAAGTCCTGGCATGCTCCGGACATGTATCCACGTGGATGATGCATCTCAGTATGACTGTCTGCACACACACACACACACACCCTCTTAGTCTGCCAGAGATGCCACCCAGCTGTATGTATCACGCTTTAATAAGGATTTATGGTGATGATTTTCACAGTGTAATAAGTGCTAATTCAATACTAATAGAATATTAAATGGCATGTTAACTGACATTTTAACTGCAAAGCAATAGGAGCATGGCATCAGCCAGGTATCAATGGACTCTTATCATTCACTAATAATCGATAATCAAGTTCACAGAGACAGTCAAATGCTTTTCATTAGACTTATTGGAAGCATTACAATCAGCCTCAGTGAAAGCTGATAAACGATTTGTGATCCATGCATTATTCTTTTCCTTATGGTTGCAGATTTAATTTCTTGACATCTCTGATGTGGCTAACGAGAGCACCAGTGAATAGCAAATGGCTGACGGGCATGCCTTGCATGGTCAGTGTAAGAACCTGGGAACTGTTGATCTTGCACCATTTCAAACCACAGACAAAGAAGGACAAAAGATTTTTCTCCCATGCCCCATTAGCCCTCCTTGCCTCCTTGTAAACAAACACAGCCCAGTTTGGCACCTCAAGTTTTTTAGCAAGATGGATGTAGAGAAACACCCAGGTCATCCTTGCACTCCTCTCCCAGTCTCATTTTCCCCACATGCAAATGCAGACAATGGGGCTGAGCCGTGCTACAGGAGGGAGAGGATAGGGTGATGCTTTTCCTCAGGAGAATGACTTTGGACCTTCAGCAGGAACCATTGCCTTGGATGGGATAGAGGGCTGCCCACTACCATTCCTGGTCCCTGGACATTCCTTGTCCCTGGCTGGGACATCTGGCAGCATGCAGGCAAGTCCTGCTGCTTGTCCTCTCTCCTCCATGCCGGTCTAACACGCAGCGCTGGGCCAAAGCAGCGCTCCTGCAAACCTGCCCTTGTAAGCTCCGAGGAACACTCCATTTGGAGACAAATGTACTTTTTTCTCCCCTTCTTCAAAGTGTTTGGGCTTGTTCCTATTGATGGGTGGGAGAGTAAGTGAAGAAAAGGAGAGTGAGGCTTAGGCAGCCACATCTCCTGGCCATGGAAATCTGGAGATTTCACTGCCCGTTCTGCCTCACTCAGGCCTCAGCGCTTTGGCTCCCAGCACCCGTGACTCCTGCTCCTCCTCCCGTCGAGGCAGCGCCTCAGTGCGCTCATTTCCCGGCGTGTTGCTGTAACACTCGTCGCAGTTTATGTTGTGCCTGTCACTCCGGCAGCTCTCGGCCCTAAGCTTGCCACCCTCTCTCTGCCGGCGAACAGACGGGCCCTGCTGCTGAGAGGCGGCATTTGCCTGGGAAGCCCCAGCACGGCTTCCCCAGGCTGTCTGCAGCCACCTGCACGGGCTGAGGAGAGGAGGAGGAGGATGCACCAGAGCTGGGATCTCAACAATGGGCTTCCCATTCTGCCTCAGAGAAAGCAGCACAGCAGCTATGGCCTACACTGTGGAGAGGGAGTGGGGGTATTTCATCCATTTGGGAAGGGGTAGATGTTATTTAGAGGCCAGAGTGATAAAAAGGCAAGAAGGAAGCCCTTTTTAGGGCCTGGTGAAGCTGTTGTTTAAATGATTACTTTAACATGGAGATATTACAGCATTATCAATGATGTGCTGGGTTGTACTGAAGCTGGGATAATTATTTTGGGTTCTTTAATTGTTGTTGTAATTCCAAATAATTATTATTACTTTAAAGCAGACCCAAACTCACAGTTCTCTGCCAGAGCACCACTAGTGAGAAGAAGCAAGCTGCTGGGATTAATGAGATATGCTGTGCTTCTTTGCCAGCAAGCCACAGCTCTTACCTCATTTTGGGGAAAAATAAACAAATAGTGAGTTTATGGACTGCATTTTTTGCCCTCTTTCTCCAAAGCATGTTGTAGTGACAGCTCTGTGCCACCATTCCCACACTCCTCTTTAATCATCTTTTCTCTGTTAACCCTTTGATCATCTCTTCTGAAAGACAATCTCTGTGCATCAGGCCAAAACTCAGCAGCCTGCTGCACACACAATTAAGCACCAAAACCCCACCCCACTGCACTCACTGAGGGATGTGCTGCCCTTTTGCCAGAGGATGCCACAACCCGCCCTGCATCAGATCTCCTGCCTTT